GTCTCTCTGCTGTAGAATGGTCTATTTCTTTCCTTAACTGTTACTGTAAAAGTTTATTGCATTAGGTTATGTGTTTTTCCCCTCTCAGGCTGCTTTTAGTGGGAAAGTATTTGCCTTAAGCAAAAAACTACAACTATTTTAAACTATTTTGATAGATGGCTGGGATAGAAAATCCTGGGATCAGTTTCAATCTATCTCTGGAGCGGCATTTGTTTAAATACATGAATATTTACATATAAAGTACTTAGAATCTGCTGCTCTATGACACAGAATATCAGACTCTCTTATACATGACTGTTTTCTGCCCCCTAAATTTCATTCAGCAATTATTTTTCTTGAGCCCCTATTATATGCCATGGCACAAGGTATTATATAGCAGTAAATAAGCAAAACAAGGTTCTCATGTATTATATATGTGGGTATGAGTTAATTTTTTAAGAGAACATAATTTCAGGCACTGGTAAGAGATGTATTAGCATAAAAAACATGACGAAATAGAGTAACAGTGTGAGGGGACTGCTTTACAAAGGTGGTCAAAAAATATCTCTATGTTGGTAACTTTCAAATTGAGATATAAATGATGAGAAAGAACTAGTACTGGGAAGATCAGCAAGAATAGTATTCCAAATGTAAGAAAAAGCAAGAACAAAAGCCTCAATGTAGGAACAAATGATATCCATTCAAGAAACAAAAAGACAGTTGGTGTTGCTAAAGCATAACGTAAAGGGGTGTGTTTTATGATGCAGTCAGAGAAGCAGGCAGGAGCCAGACAGCTCAGGGCCTCTAGGGGCAGAGGAATGTGGCACTTCTGCTAGGTTGACCAAGTTTTCTTTGTTGCTATTTTCTCTAATTATCTGAAACTCCTCATTCTTATTTCCATTTTAGCAATATTTACTTTAATAATTACTCAAATGTATGTACATTTAAAAATATTAAATGGTAATCATGTAAATTCATAAAGTATAGAAAATAAATTCCTGCCCTGGCTGGGAAGCTAAGTTGGTTGGAGCATCATCTCACACACAAAAAGGTTGTGGGTTCGATCCCCGGTCGGAGCAGGAGGCATGTATGGGAGCCAAGCGATCACTTTCTCTATCACATCATGTTTCTCTCTTGTTTTATTAAACAAACAAACCACAAAAAATCATAAACTTTGGATGAAAACTTAAAAAAAAAAGTAAACTCCTGATCCTTTTGCACCAAACCCTTTCCCATCAAACACTCTCGCCAAAGAGAATACTGTAAACAGTTTGATAGGTACCATAGCTCACATTCCAATGTATGTTAATACTTACATATATGCATACACGTATGCCACATATGTGTCTATACACATAATATATACCAACACTTTTTAAACAGACACAAAGGGAATTATGACATATATCCTGTTTATCATTTGTTTTTCTTACTTGTGTTACAGATCTTTCTTCATTTTTTCTTAAAGATACAGACTATTCCAAGTATGGATAAACTATAGTTTAAGCATATTCCTATTGATGAGTAGTTGCTAATATTTTTAAATAATAAAAACAGTATAGGATGTATGATTTATCTTAAGAATACATATAAAATACCAAAATAAATCTAAAATAGAATGGAGAAAATAATAAAAACAAAAACAGGAATTGAACAGAAAAAATGGTGGCTTGTTGTTTAAATTTGCAATTGTTAAATAGTATTGTACTGCCCAGGAGTATTAGAAGTATTGGCTACAGGAAGTACCACTGCTTTCTTTTTTGAATGCTCTATAGATGTCTAACATATCACTCAATCCTCAACAGAAACTTTTAACTAGTTAATAAATTTTTAAGTAGGTTTAGAATAGGAAATTAGTACTTAATATACCTTGACATTTTAAGCCTGACAATTTAAAACTTAAACACAGTTTACAAACAGACATCACACCCTGAAAGGAAATAACAGAAACAATTAGTGATCTCTCCAAGCTCTCTTCACAGAGATCTCAGAATAAACCTAAGGTCATACATAGGATGTGGGCTCTTCACCGGGAGCAGTATTACAGAAGATTTGTGGCATTAGAAGGGTCATGACACAATGCAGGCTGCTTAGTCTCAAATGCAAGCATAAAACTTACATTTAAAAATATTCTAAATTATGCTCAGATATGAAAAAAATGTAACAAAGAGATTATGCTACATAAAGATATAACCAACCACTCCCTCTATAAAAGTTAAAGTATTTTAAAGACCATTAACAGGCAGTACCTTGACTGTTTCAAAGGTTAAATAATACTTGTTTTCAAGGCTACATTATGAAACTGTGTTCAACGGTCACAGAAGCAACCATATTAACTTGCAGCAGGGGCCCAATTTCTAAATCCCAATTTGATATTTTCACTTAATTTATCAAAGCAAATGTATTAAGAAAATTATAGCTGCATATGAAACTATTATAGTAGAAGAAAATCCAATGATTTGAGTAAATTTGTGACAGGTGATAAGTAATCACTGTGATTAATCAACATAACCTCACTGAAACATCAATAGCAACCTCTAAGCTTTTAAGTTATTACTGATTTGTACTTTGCCCCAAGACAAATTAATCAGAATAGTAAATGTGGTAAATGGTAGCCTCTCTGTGACTTCAAGGTGACTCATTTGAAACATCTAAAAACAAATCACACTCATATCATGTACTATCGGTAAGTTTCTAAAACAGTTTCCTGTAATTTAAAGTCATGGCCAACATATATATGAAAAGATGCTCAACTTCACTAGTTATCAAGGAAATGCAAATAAAAACTACAATGAGATACCACCTCCCACCTGTTAGAATGGCTATTATCAACAGGACAAATATATGTATAAATAAAACAAGTGTTGGAGAGTTTGTGGAGAAAAAGGAACCCTCATTCATATGGAAAGCAGTATGGAGGTATCTAAAAAAAATTAAGAATAGAGAGCTACCATATGACCCAGCAATTCCTCTTCTATCTACTGAAAATTTTGAAAACATTTATTCACAAAGACATATGCACTTCTATGCAGTATTATTCACAGGTGGCCAAGACAGAAACAACAAATTGTCCTTTGATAGATGACTGGATACAAAGATGTGGTACATATATACAACTAGAGGCCCTGTGTACGAAATTGATGCATGAGTAGAGTCTCTAGCTTGGCTGGCCATTGGGGCTGAGTGGGGCCTTTTGGCTGCCAACAGTGGCCTGCCTTCATTCCATGATGCCCCCTGGTGGTCATCAAACGTCATAGCAAGCGATCAAACTCCTGGTCTCCTGGTCTAGCACCCAAGAGGACAATTTGCATATTAGGGCCATATATATATATATATATATATATATATATGTATGTATATACACACACACACACACACACACACACACACACATATATATATATATATAATATATGGAATACTACTCAGTCAAAAGAAAAGATGAAATACTACCATTTATGACAACATAGATGGACCTTGAGAATATCATGCTAAGCAAAATAAGTCAGTTGGAAAAAGCTAAGAACTATATGATTTCACTCATATGTAGGATATAAAACTGAAATTCATAGACACAGACAATAGTATGGTAGTACTAGAAGGAAGAAGAGTAGAAAGTAGGAAAAGGTAAAGGGGGCCAAATACATGGGTGGTGGGCACACAATCTAATATACAGATGATGTATCATAGAAATGCACCCTTGAAGCCTATATAATCTTATCAATCAATGTCATCCCAATAAATTTAATAAAAATAACTGATTAATCTAAATATTCAGGTAGCCCTAATAAAAATCTTAACAAGCAAGCAAAAAAAAATATTTCATGGACAAAAAGGTTTGAATATTTTTTGTTTTAGTAACTAGAAAAAAAATAAAAGCATATACTATATTAATATATAAGCATATACTGTATAAATATTTTAAAGAAAATGATAAGGTAAGTTAAAAAAAAGAACATAAATCAAAATTTTTCATCAGTGCTAAGTCTGATTTAATTTCTCTCCAAAAGACAGACAGACAGACACACACACACACACACACACACACACACAGTTTTAAAGTGATGTTTCTTGAAAGACAAGCTAAATCCATACATGTAAGATCAGCATTTGAACAAGGTCCAAAAAGCTAGAAAATATTTCTCATAAATTATAGTTTAATTGGAAATGAATCACTTTGGTGACTAAAACTTAAAATTCTATGTAATTCTAAGGATTCCCCAAAACCATGGAATTACATAAACTACTTTTATAGTACTTTTTTTAAAAAACGGTTTTAGATTTATAGACAAACAGAGAAGATAAGAGTTCCTATTTACCAATGCACTATTTCCCTTATTATTAACATCTTCCATTAACAAAGTATGGCCAATTTGCTACACTTAAGGAATCAATATTGATAGTTTTACTAACTGTAGCTCACACTTTACTTAGCTTTCCTTATTGTGTGTGTGTTTTTTAAATTTAATGTCCTTCTGTTCTAAGATCCTATGCAGGCCTCCACATTGCATCTACTTGTCATATCTCTTAGGTTGCTCTTGGCTGTGACAGTTCCTCAGAGTGCCTGTTTTTGACCACCTGGAGAGTTTTGAGGAGTACAGGTGAGGCTTTCTCTAGGATGCCCCACTATCAAAATGTGTCTGATATTTTTCTCATCATAAGACTGGGGTTTGGGGTTACTGGAAGACCAGAGAGGCAAAGTGGCATTTTTATCACATTGAATCACAGGTACATACTTACAATGTGATTCATAACTGTTAATGTTGACCATAATCGTCTAAGTAAAGGAGTGTTTGTTGGGTTTTTTCCACTGTATAGTTATTTATTACTAGAGGCCCAGTGCACGGATTCATGCAACAGTGGGGTCTCCTGGCCTACCCTGCACCCTCTTGTAATCCAGGACCCCTCAAGGTATGTTGGACTGCTGGTTTTGGCCCAATTCCCACAGGCCAGACCAATGGACCCCCATGCATGAATCCATGAACCGGGCCTCTAGTACGCATATAAGATCTTTGGTTAATCTCTTCCCATCCTCCCTCCCCCTCAATCCCTCTGAGATTCATCAGTCTGTTCTACATTTCTATGCCTGTGCGTTGAGCTTCTGTCCCCTGGTGGTCAGTGCGCATCATAGCACCGGTTGAATGGTCACTTAGGTTACGTTGGATTCGACATGTGTCGTTTCGTGATTACTTCGTCATCTCCCATTTATTTATTAAAAAGAAAAGTTCCATCATTTCGATGTATGTACATATGTACTTTGTGTTTTTTATTTATTTATTTACCACAAGGTCAGGAATTACCTTTCTTTTACATTTTTTTTTTTTTTTTTTTACTGTTTCACTTCATTACTGATGAGTATGTGCTCCATGTGAGTGACATAGGTACTTATGTAGGTTGGTTCTGACTTACAACAAAAATTGAGTTATGTCATACCATAGGAACGGATCTCCGACGTAACCCGAGGACTTACTGTAGATTTTTTTCCTTGCCCTTTCCATACTATAGCTTTTGTAGGAAAGTCATTGTGCACAGCCCACACTTAAGGAGTAGGGATTTCTGACTCCTCTCCTTGAGAGAAGAACATTTGGAATTACTCTGCACAGATTTATCTCTTCTCCCCATTTATTATGTTAGTCAATCATTATTTATAACAGCAAGGACTCATATTATTTTATACTTTGAGTTGCAATCCACTACTATTTTATATATTTTTAAAAATATGCTTTTATTGATTTTTTTAGAGAGAGGAACAGAGTAGGGAGATAGAAACACTGAAAGAGAAACATCCATCAGCTGTCTTCTACACACTGTTATTAGGGATCAAACCAAAACCCAAGCATGTGTCCTGACCAGGAATTGAACCAGCTACCTCTTGGTGCATGGGTCGACGCTCAACCAGTGAGCCACAATCTACTATTATTTTAAATATTCTTCTACCTTTGACAACCTGGAGCTCTTGCAGTTGGCTCCTCTTTGTCCCTTTAACATACAGTTTTGTTATGTTTTTGAGCACTCCTTTACTTTCTGGCATGATGAAATGATCCAGGCTCATCCAGGCTTATATTTCCTATCTCAGTCTTGGAATCAGCTATTTCTCTGAGAAACCTTGATTTATTTTATTGGAAATGGTATAGAAAACAAGATCTGTGTGCTAGGTGTACATAAACTAACTTTTAATAACACCTAGACAATCACTGATATTATGATACTTAAGAGTCTAACCTACCTTTACTAATTCTTCAGATGCTACTATGAGTTGGTTTTGGATATCTGAATAATAGCCTTCATTTACAGATAAAGCAATACCTTAAAAACCTCTAGATACTAATCCCTTTATATTTAACTGCATACTAGAGTTGGATATCAAAAATCATCTCTGAGCACATTAGTTAAAAATATTTTAACTCAATTTTATAATACCTAATGACTAGATAACAAGCTAAATAAAATATTCTATATACCTTACTTTCTTTGTTGAGAATTCATGTTAAGACTAGATAAGGTTACAGAATAGATATTTTCCTAATTTAAAAATGCTTAAAATTTTGAGAAAACTATTAAAAGAAAAAGAAACCAAGATGGTTTCTTTTAGATAAACACCTGAACTTGCTGCCGTACACAACCACTTCATAATTACAACTGAAAGATAGAACGAACATCATCCAGAACCACAGGATACTGAAGGGTATTCTTTAAAACGAGGAGGAAAAAGAAAAGATAAAGGTAAAAATTATGAACATCAAATACATATCTATCAACAAGTGAACCTAAAAATCAAGTGTATAAAAAATCTGATGGACAGAATAACCTGGTAAATATAATAGAATCGGGGCATAGAAAGAGAGTAGACTGATAATTCTCGGGGGCAAAGGGGTGTGGGGGGTGTGGAAAAAGACTGGACAAAAATTGTACATCTATGTATGGAAGGATAGGGGAAGGGCAGGGGATGTGATGGGAACTGGGTGGAAGGGAGCTATGGAGGGAAAAAAGAGGAACAACTGTAATAATCTGAACAATAAAGATTTAATTTAAAAAAAAGAAAAATAAAGAAAAATGAAAAGTATTTTAATAATCAAGTTAATTGCTCAAAACAGAAAACACTGTGCTTCAAGGGGAAAAAAGAATTTTCCCCAAGAAAGTTTGTTAGCCAAATTGGCATATAAACTACCACCTGAAACTAAGAAATAGCTCAGGAAGTTGGAAAGCATGAATGGATCACAAAATTTTCTGATAAACTCCATCACTTAGTAATGTTATGGTAATGTAATGTTATTAAAATATATACTGTTTTAAAGTTCAATAGTGAAGATTTTATCATTTCCTCTCCAGTTCTGTCAAAACTGCATACTGATCTGGGCACACTGATTTAAACCTAACCCCCTCACTTTGTGTCAGAACAGAATTTTGAGTGGGTGTTTTTAAGCCAAGAGTGGTTGGGGTATTGCCCATCTGAGGCATCCTAAGAGGTTATCTGCTGGGCAAACTAACCAAAGTGGGTAAATGTGACTGGGTACCAGGAAAAGAACAAAAAGTTGAATTTGGGTAGAACTAAACTGTTTTAAACAAAAACCTTTCCATTACTTAAAACAAAGCAGAATTAATTTCACAGATGTGCTTAACCCACAGAAGCTTTTAATAATGACAAATTATTATATTTATCTTTATAATAACCAAAACATAAACTCAATTACAGGTTAAATATCAGAAGGCTTGGGTTCGATTCCCATCTATTTTCTTCAATTAATTGAGCAAAACTAACTTTTCTGTATTTTGTTCCACCATCTGGAAAGTGGAGAGTTCTACTGAATGTTGTTTTCTGAATCAATTAAATCTTTTTAATAGGTTAAATGCCATCTGACCAATCATTCATATCTTAAAACCCTACAATGACTTTCCATCTTAGTCAGAAAAAGGCCTAAATTCTTGGGCCCTACATAATCTGCCCTATTTACCTCTCAGACTTCCTCTATTACCCCTCTAACTCCACCCAGGGACTCTACTCAGACAAACTCTTCGGCTGTAAGCCATTTGCCTTAACTATTCCCTCCCTTATCAGGGATTTCTTCCCCCAACTCTGAATGTCTTATCTGCTTCAAATCTTTGTCTACATCAGGTTCTAATGAGCTCTTTCTGACATTTAAAACAGCACCAACACCTCAATCCTCTCCCTTTCCTACATTTTTTCTCTCTATTGCATTCATCATCTTCTAAATTACATAGTACATATGGTTCATTTATCTTGTTCATCTGACTTTTCCCTCTACCATAAGCTTGATGAGGATAGGGATTTTTGTTTTGTTCACTAGTTCTTCTAAAGTATTTAGAGTAGGGACAGGCACAGAGTAGATACTCCACAAATATTTGTTGATTTGAAACCAATACTTCATTTAAATTCCTAATTTAACCTTCTTCACATTTGGGTTTTAAATGAGAACGAATAAAAAAGTAGGAGATGGCCTGGCTGCTGTGACTCTGGTTGAGCCCTGGCCCTTGCGATCAGGCACATGCCAAGGTTGCAGGCTAGATCCCCGGATGATGATTCTCTCCCAGCAATGTTTTTATCTCTCTCTCCCTCTTCCTTCTCTCCCTCAAATCAATAAAAATATATTTTTTTAAATAGTATGAGATGGTATAAGAAAGGTCTGTAACAGTGTTAGAGGAGCAGACACAACAAAATTGGCTGAGTTGGCATCATCAGGGAAGTCACCTTTCTGAAATAAGTTCAAAGGAGAAGAGAAGAAAAAGAAAAAAGAAAGAGTGAATTAGATGGCAGACTAGAAGGATCCTTAACTAATTCATTGTGACTCAAGTACAGGCATATGCTGAGAAAAATACAAAATGAGGCAAGAATCAGCAGAAAGGGTCTTGTAAGGAGAGCCAGACTTTGGACTTTGTTGTGAAAGCCAAGGGAAGCTACTAAAAGATTTTAAACGATGCATGGTGAACTGGTAGGAACTATTTATAAGCAGAGTTATAGGAGACACTTGGTCTGCTATTAAGAAAATTCATAAAACTACCATGACAGTAATTTTAGTATTAAAGAAAAACATTTCATTTTAATCCCAGAAAAAAAATTTAATTTACAGAGTAGGTTTCTAAAAAAAAAAAAAAAACAAACAAACACAAAATCTCATTTTAAAATAGTCTCTATGACTCAGTTTCCTCAACTATAAAATGGAGACATTAACAATACCTATTTTGTCATATGGTTGTTTTTTGTTAGCTTTTTTTTTTACTCCTGACCCAAGGATATTTTCCCCATTGATTTAGAGAGAATGTGGAAGGGAGGGAGAAGGGGAGACAGAGAGAAAACCATCTACATGAGAGAGACACATTGATTGATTGCCTGCTGCATGTGCCCATACTGGGGCCAGGGAACCTGCAACCAAGGTAAATGCCCTTGACCAGGAATCAGATCTGTGACCCTCTGGTCCTTGAGGCAGTGCTCTAACTACTGAACAACTAGCCAGGGCCATGTGGTTGTTGTGAAGACTAAATAAGAGAATATATACTTAAGTGACTAATGGTGCCAGGGGTGGGGTATTTTTTGTCTGCCAAGAGCCATTTGGATATATATATATATATAACATTATTGCAGGCCACACTAAATTATCAACTTAAAAATTAGCCCATTTTATTTGGTCAAACGTTTAATTATTATAACTCACCCCTAATGCTTTGGCAGGAACAGACCAGATGAATTCCAGGGCCATACAACCTGTGGGCTGGACATTCCCCAAAAGCAATCAATGATACTATTACTACTTTTATTATTAGTATCCTGGAAGAATTAAAGTTACAAGAAATAAAGTCTATGTTCCCCAAAATAGAAGATACATAATAAAGGGTAAGTTAAATAATAGGGTTTACAGTGGACAGAAATAAGCTCACTTAAGTATACATTTTAGGAAAAACCAAAAAGTCAAAGCAATTCTTAATTTGAAGCCATACACAATTCTTACAAAGGAATAAATTCATTATCTGTGGTGGATAAAGACTATCTTAAGGAAAACTCAAATACTTTTTGTACTTTCCAGTTTGGTTGTAATTTTTGGAATCCCCTACAAAGCTGAATGTGCTTTTTTAAATACTGGGTACTCTCTGAGCTGTTTTTCTGGAGACTAGTTAGGGAAGAAAGGATACTTTATACATGCTTTCTCATTTAATCCCAACAACTCTAAGGCAGGTAACTTTAGGATCCTCAGTTTTGAATGAGTAAATAAAAAATGTTAACTTGTGAAAGAGTTAGTTAATAAGAGAACTGACTTCAAAATCTCTAGGAATTTTAAGAAGACAAAAAGTTGTGACTACAGTGTCATTTAGAATTCTAAAAGCCTCTGGTTCCCAATGATAATGAAGTTTTTTATTCCAATCAGGGTATATTATATTTATCTCTGCAGGCTACTTAAAGAAATTCCATTAGCCTGAGGCATTCAGCCAGCAAATTATCTGGTAAAGTACATGTGCAGAGAGCAAGAAAAAAAAAAATTCTCCGTTAAAAGATAATTGCCATTATCTACATGTAATTAAAGCCATTAACACCAACAATAAATATATCTGAATTTTCAGAGATTTTAATTCTCTCTGATGACATTTCAAAGAAGGTCCCAGGCTCAGTAATTTCTTCGGTATAATAATAAATGCATTTAGGCTGAGTCTGAATTCACTTAATCCTTCCTAACAAGTAGTGACCTACTGATAAAAGGATGTATACAAATTGATGTGTGTGTGTGAATATAGGATAATCTCTGAATTTTAAACATTTGATATTCAAATTACATACATTAAAAATCACTTATTGTAGAAACAACAGCAGGTGAGTGAATTATTGTATTTATTTAATTTCTTCAAATACAAATATCTGAGTGATGGCTATGTAACAGGCATTCTAAACCAAGCACAGAAAAACAGATAAATTGAATAAGGTAGGTAAAAATTCCTTGCTCATGGAGTTCCATACTGGTGGAGAATGTGCATAAAAACAAAAATGTATCATTTATAGCAAAAAAAAATTGTTCTGAAGAAATATATAGCAGCATAAGAATATATGCTCTTAGGAATAGGAATATTATTTTAGGATAGGAATATTATTTTACATAGAAATTTGGCCAAAAGAGCTTTATTTAAGAAAATAATGGGAGACCTGAATGAAGTGAGAGGATTATACAGTATTTAAAATTCAGAATTGTAACTCTGAATTGTCACAAAGTATTGAAATGATACACAGTGGAACCTTACAGTTTAACCCAAATAACTACTATAGAATGGTGACTAAAATCCATCGATAAGTGCCATTCATGCTGAGAAGGAAGAAACGTAGGTGATAACTTTTACAAACAGTTCTATGGAAATGCCAAAATGTTAAAGCCGCTACACTTAGAAAAGGTCAAATTCATTGTAAAATCCTAATATAAAGTTGCTCCTCAAAAGAGGAGGGGGAGAATTATGGTAGAGGATATTAAGTATATTACAGATGTAGTTATCTCAGAACAATTACATGTGGGAGATTGTGAACTTTAAATAATAAAAGTGTCAAGTTGACTAAAGAATCTTTTAAAATAAATTTAATAAACTTCAGCCTCATAAGTATATCTACTATATAATGCTAGTATTTATAAAAATAAGTATTTCTTTAGCTAATGTATTTTCTCACCTAAATATGACATTTACAAAAGTATAATTTTCATAACTACATTAAAAAGCAGTCTTTGATTATACTAAATAACAGCTTATATAATAATGTAGTTTATTAAGTGAAGAGTTTGAAACATTTTATTCATAAGAGAGTAACAGTAATTGAAAGAGTTGGTCTGAAGAGATTTGAAGTATAAAAATGTTTGACTAAGTGAAGTTCTCCCCCTAGTGGAACTTGAAAGTGTTATTTCCTTGACTCAGAATAACCAAGACTGTATTATTATTCTTGGAACTGAAAAAGGAGTTTCAGGTTTTAACAAAAGCTCTATCTATGGGTCTAATCTGCATGCAGTAAGTAAATAAATGAGTAAAGGTTGAATCATTAAGATGTTTACTAAAAACACATTTACTAAGTGTGTTAATAGCAAGCTAATCAAGGAAAATTCAGTAAGCAAAAGTACCTCAAAAGCAGACGACTAGGAGGCACAGAAAAATACAGCAATTTACAAAGAGATACCAATGTGTAGAATGGCACAGAATTCTGAAGGGATGTGAAATTTTGAAAAGAGTATATGTGTAGAGGGAATAGGGAGGAAGGATGGAGAGGTAATGGTGAAGAGATGAAGCTAGAAATGCAGGTTGGTTAATAATGAAAAGGTAAGCTTTTTATGCTGAGGAGCTTTGATATATTTTGGTAGGTAAAAGGCAGTCAATAAAAGTTTTATGTTTTAGAAAGATAACTGGTAGTTTTATGGAAGAGCTGAAGGTGGAGAAAAGGAAACTGGACAGGAAGTTACTAGTCAGTTGTGAAGGGCAGATGAATTAAGGGAATGGCAGAGAATATATTGTAGAAAGGCTAAAAAAGATTTTTATAAATGTTTCTAAAATCATTAAAATCACCTTTGATTTAGTTTTTTACATTTACTCAGGTCTTTTCTCTTTTGAAGTGTTGGGCAAGACACTTTAATCTGTATGAATTATTAAGATTTTTTGAAGCTTTGGCTGGATGGCTCAGATGGTTGGAACATCATCCTGTACTCCAAAAGGTTGTGGGTTCTATTTCTGGTCAGGGCACATACCTAGGTTTTGGGTTCGATCCCCAGTTGGTGTGCATATGAGAAGCAACTAATCAATGTTTTTCTCACACTGATGCTTTTCTCTCTGTGTCTCTGTCTCTCTCTCTCTCTCTCTCTCCTTCCCTCTCCCTCTCTCTCTCTTTCTGTCTCTCTCATCAATAAACATATCCTAGAGTAAGATTTTTTTTAAGTGGTGTGTCCTTTCCTATGCACAACAGGAGGGCTCTGGATTCTTTTTAAATTTTGATTTGAAGGCAAACCTACTAGAGTAGGAGAGGGGTTAAAGTGTTGATAAAAATATTAACTACCATGCACTTGGTAAAATAATTGGCTATTATCAGGTAAAGTTGGAAATTTGTACACACTATATAACAGCCCTGGTATATATAGTAGAGGAAAAGAAAAGCATAAGTGGAATTCCTATTAAGTTGAATATTTCAGTAATACATGATCCCACTGATCAAGCCTTGAGAAACAAAAGAAGAAAACAATTTTAGTTGGAAATAGGAACACATTTGATTTTAAACATGGTGAATTTGAAGTGTCTACAATTTCCAGATGGAACTGTCCATTATCCATTTAAACTATTGGTCTATGGCCTGGCTGGTGTGGCTCAGTGGTTGAGCATCTACCCATTAACCAGGAGGTCACAGTTCGATTCCTGGTCAGGGCAGCCATCAATGATTCTCTCTCATCATTGATGTTTCTCTTTCTCTTTTCCTTCCCTTCCCCTTTCTTCCCTATCCTCCCCCCACCCTTTACCTTCTCTTTTCTCCTCTCCTCTCCTCTCCCTAAAAACATATTAAAAAACAATAACAGCAACAATGACTACTGGTCTATTCATTAAAAGACACAATAAATTTTAAAATAACAACAAAAGATAAGTCATAGAGTAAGAGTACAAATTTGCAAATTATAACCTCAATAAAGAACTAGAAATCCATGAGAAAAAGACAACCCAATAGAAAAATATACACAAAAGACTAACAGGTACTTGACAAAAAAGGAAACTCAAGTGGCCAAAATTGTTTGTACCAGGTCAATGGAAATTAAAACCATGATGAAATATCACTGCATACCCACCAAACTGGCAGAAATCGAAACATCTGAAACTACCAAGTATTGGGGGGAGGATGTGGAACAACAAGAACTTTCATATGATTCTGTTGGGAGTCTAATCTGGTGCATTTTAGAAAATAAAGTTGAATATTGGCATGCCCTCTGACTCAGTCATTCCGCACCTTGGTATACATGCTGGAGGAACTCATGTACAGGTGCGCAAGACTGCTCATAATCACAGCATTGTTCAGAACTGTGCCAATCTGGAAAGTCCTAAATGACCACTAATATTAGAATGGACAAATACATTGTGATATATTCATAAAATAGAATATGTATAACAATAAAAATGACTCATTATGTTGAACAAAGAAGAGACAAAGATGAAAATATTTAATGACTATATAAAATCCAGAAACAGGGAAAACTAAACTGTGTGGATCAGAAATGCATACAAAGATGACACAACTATAAGGAGTTCTATAGTAATCTCCATAAATTTTAGGATTACCATAAAATTCATAATAAGAGAACAGGTTATGATTGGGTAGACTATGGGATAAAGGCAATATTTTCTATAGTGGTCATATGGATAAAGTTTTTATATACATATTAGAGGCCCCGTGCACAAATTCATGTACCAGTGTAGTCCCTCAGCCTGGCCTGCAAGATCAGGCCAAAACCAGCTCTCTGACATCCCACAAGGAGTCCTGAATTGTGAGAGGGTGCAGGTGAGGCCCAAGGACAACCCCCAGCCCCCACCAGTGCATGATTGGGGCCAGAGAGGGAAATGGGAGGTTAGCCAGCTGGGGAGGGAGAGCAGGAGGGTTCCAGGGGTTGGCTGGCCTGTCTCACTCAGTCCTGACTGGACAGACTCCAGGAGCAAGGTAACCTACTGGTCAGAGCGTCTGCCCCCTGGTGGTCAGCAATTGGTCAACTGCTGACTGTGCCCCCTGGTGGTCAGTGCACATCATAGCGAGCAGTTGAGCGGCCTTAGCATATCATTGGCATATTACAGTAAGATTGGCTGAACGGCCGACTGGACACTATTTTATTATATCTACACTAATAAAAGAAAAAATGCTAATTGACCATACCTTTGCTAAGCCCACAGCCAATCAGAGGGAATATGCAAATTAACCAAATAAATATGTCGGTTAATTTGCATATGCTGAGGGAAGGAGGAGTGAAGACTGAAGACAGCATAGAAGAAAGAGGGAGAGAAAGCAGAAAGCAAGGTGGCTGCTGGAGGGTGGAGCAGGAATCTTCCTGCAATGGGCCACTAGTAAGTTTATAAAAAGGTATTCTATATGTTCTGTTGATAATATCCCTTATAAAGTAGCACATGCTAGGGATGGACATATTTTAGGAATCACTTGTAAAGATTGCTCCAGAAGCCATGTAGGTGAGACTTTTCATTTGAATACAGTTTTTAAAACACTCAAAACTCGGATTTTGGAAGAATACAAAGATTCAAAACTGATAAAGAAGACTGAAAACAACAGTTTAGAAAGAATGAAGAAAGTCCACAGTGAGTGTTGTTAGGAAAGCCAAGGGAAGAGACAATGTAAAGAGGATGAGAGGTCAACAATGACAAATGAGATAGGATCAAGCAGAAGACAAATACTGAAAAAATACCAGTGAATTTGGGAGAAACCAAGATGGTGGCATAAGGTAAACTCCTATACTACCGCCTCACACAACAATTTTAAAATTGCAACTGGAAGACAGAGCGAACATCATCCAGAACCACCGGAAAGCTGGCTAAGTGGAAATTCTGCAACTAGAAGGAAAGAGAAAAGGACACTGAGACGCAGAGGAGCTGTGGAAGTACGAAGACCCATGTGCACAGAAAGGGCAGGCGGCTGAATACGGGGCTGGCTTACTTGCGGCACACTGAGAGGGTGGGCAGCAAACGCACGGCTAGCTTTCTTGTTCGGGAAGAAAACAAAACCTCCCGACTGCACTGAACTCCAGCTCCAGGTGAGACTTTGGGTACCAGACTCATTCGGGAGAAACTGGACTGTCTGATAGAGGGCGAAACTTGAGAGCAGCCTTCTCTCAGAGGTGCATGCAGCCACTGCAAAGGGACAATGAGACACAGGGCCCTCTTAGGGAGGAGCTGACGGGATACCAAGGCTGTCTGCTCCACCCTGAGACTCTAACCATCCAAGCTGAGCACAGAAGCCCTCCCAGCGGAGACACTGCTGATCCTCACAGCCAATTGGCCTGGAGGTTAACTCCCCACAGTGGTAACAACAACAGGCAAGGTTTAACTACAACAAGATTGCACACACAGCCCTCAAAGGGGTGGACCGAGAGTGTCCACCTGAAATAACTGGGGAGGCTGAGCTACTGGGCCCTGCTGGGACACCTAGCATACAAAGCAACTCTATCAACTCAGGGAAGCAGCCAAAATTCAGAGACAAAAAGGCAGGCCACAAATGAAATAAATGGAGGAAAGCAAGCTGGATATAGAGTTCAAAACTACGGTTAGAAGGTTTTTCAATAATTTCCTAGAAAAAGCTGATAAATTTAACAAGACCCTTGAGGATATGAAAAAGGATCAACTAGAAATTAAGCATACACTGACTGAAATAAAAAATGTTATACAGAGACCTAAAAGCTAGAGGATGGCAAGAATCAAGTCAAAGATTTGGAATACCAAGAAGCAAAAAACACTCCTCTGGAAAAAGAAAAAAGAACCCAAAATGTTGAAGATAGTTTAAGAAGCTTCTGGGACAACTTCAAGCATACCAACATCAGAATTATGGGGTCCCAGAAGAAGAGAGAGATTAAGATACTGAAAACCTATTTGAAGAAATAATGACTGAAAACTTCCCCCACCTGGTGAAAGAAATACTTACAAGTCTAGGAAGCGCACAGAACCCCAAACAAAAGGAATCCAAAGAGGACCACACTAAGACACATCATAATTAAAATGTCAAGAGCAAAAGACAAAGAGAGAATATTAAAAGCAGCAAGAGAAAAACAGTTAATTGTCTACAAGGGAGCATCCATACGACTGTCAGCTGATTTCTGAACAGAAACTATGCAGGCCAGACAGGAGTGGCAAGAAATATTCAAAGTGATGAATAGCAAGAACCTACAACAAAGATTACTCTATCCAGCAAAGCTATCATTCAGAATTGAAGGTCAGATAAAAAGCTTCACAGATAAGAAAAAGCTAAAGGAGTTCACCACCGCCAAACCAGAATTATATGAAATGCTGAAAGTTATTCTTTAAGAAGAGGAAAAAGAAGAAAAAGATAAAGATAAAAATTATGAACGACAAATATTTATCTATCAACAAGTGAATCTAAAAACCAAGGGAATAAAAAATCTGATGAACAGTATTAATTGGTGAATATAATAGAATCAGGGGCATAGAAAGGGAGGGGACTGACAATTCTCAGGGGAAAAGGGGAGTGGGGAATGTGGGAAGGGAATGAAAAATGTACACCGATGGGTGAGGATAGTGGGGGGGTAAGGACAGAGGGTGTAGTAGGAACCTGGTGGAGGGGAGCTATAAAGGGAAAAAAGAGGAACAATTGTAATAATCTGAACAATAAACATTAAATTTTTAAAAAATATCAGTGAATTTGGCAATCAGAATTCCAGTGATCACTTAATCAAGTGCCATTTGATGCTAACATGCTGCTATTAATAGTAAAAATTTTGTGCATTTTTATTTATATTTTTCAAAAATGAAATGTTATATTTCATTTTAAATAAAACATGCATTATACCAAGTTCTTCATTTTAATAAGTACTTCAGAATCAATAAAAAGAGTGATTTAAATCTTGCTATTTTGTGACTAATGTATAACATTTTTTATAATTTTCTTGATGTTAGAAAAGTACATATTAAACTAGAATTGCATATGATAGCAATGTAAATAACTGAATATAAATATATTATGCTTGCCTTAAGTTTTTCTAAATATGTACTACTTTATG